ATGTATGGTGATTAACATAACATAATAAATAAATAAAAATGTAAAAAAAAATAAAGACTAAAAGAGGCAAGGAACATAAAAAGTAGCAGCAAAAACTCTTCTTTCCTGAGAAGTGACTTGTGAATGAATTCATCATTTGCCATGCAGTTGTATAAATTTACACTTTCTGGGTGATGTTAGTAAGTATTGAATGGATTAAAGATTTACAGTGTATATCAATATATTAAAGGCCCCCAGAAGTCCAGTTTTAAAAAAGAGACACACGAACACATACCCCCCTCCCACAACTTTATTTTTTGAACTTATTTAAGTATGGAGAACTTTTCCAAGTACACACATTGACATTCTATGGCATTATGGTTCCAGAGAGAACAAATTTGCAAGACATTGAACTAACCTCGTAATTTTAAAAATTAGCTGTGAAAATTGGACAGGATTATTTTTTATACAAGCTTATACAGTAGAAATCTGGATTGTTGGATTTTTTTCATTGTCCCTTATTGGAGGCAAATTGAAGGCCTAGCGTTTGCTTCTTCAGGTGTTAGGTGCATTGAGGGGAATGAGGGAGATGAGACTGTGAGGGGGAGAGATAGGGAAAGGAAAAAGAAGTTTTATGAGGGAGTTTTGTTTTTTTTTAAACAGTGCTAAATTTTAAAAAGAAAATTGCCACAGTCTTAGATTCTCAACCAAACTATTTGCATATTTCCTTCCAAGGTTTGAGTAAATTTTACTGTAGAATAGTTTAATGTACAGAGAGAATTAATAAGGAAAATGAACTGCAAAGGAAGAAATTTTTCATAGTTTTAGGTCTCTCCGTCATAAGAGCAGGCTAAATGAACTCAGAGAAATATTTCCTGGGCACATCATTTAAGATCAGGAGCTGAGGTTTCTGTAACTGCTTCACCAAAAACCAAAATACTCATACAGTCACTCTAGCTTTTGGTTAGAAATAGAGTTCTCCGGAAAAATACTTACCTGATACTCTTGAATACTTAGGGTAAAAGGAAACTGTTTAATTCCTTTTTTTCTTTTAACATTAAGATTTTTAAAAATGGACCATCAGATTTTAAAGCACCCTATTTCTGTCCAGCCCTTTTTTAGCCTCCAGTATTCTTGTTTAGATGTCCATTCTACCTACAGTGTTGTGTGATGCTATTTATGCTATTTATAGCTTTATACAGACTAAACTATTTGAATAGCTGAATATCCTTGAAGAGTTTTTCTTAAGCTGGGGGTCTAGTTCAAAGGCATTTGCCCTACATGTCTCATTAGTTCTTAACAATAGACTCATGTGTAACAATTGAAACAATATTTTTTCCCAGGCATCTGCTTCACGTTTTGATGTAATATGCTGGGGGTTGCACAAGCATCTAACATTATTTTTTAAAGCTGTACAAGTAATACGGGTGTCTA